TAACTTCTAACCTTTCCATGTTCAAATGGTTCCTAATTTCTAATTTTCATTGTCACCTATTCTCTTCCCTTGTCTACAAACATGCGTTACGCCAAGAGAATGCATAAATGTTATGAAATAGAAAAAGTGAAACAATGGACCAGGTTAAGAACTTTATTCACAGTCACTATCATTAGTTAGTTAGCAGTTAAGAAACTATCCTAGCAAATTAAGCCATAATTGACGATTTTTGACCATTAAATGCATGAATTCAACGTAAAGCTAGTTGCAAATTGCGTCCGCTGCCAGTTTCTATCGCGCCCAAACCGGCATAGTGAAACGCACGCGAACGAAAAATGACGAGAAGGGTTTTATTGTATGAGCCTAGCATTAGGGGTGGCTATATGCGGGGTAAGACATGGAAAGCCATTTTTATAATAAAGACTATTTTTTCGAAAAAAATTTATACTCTCTAAAATTGCAAAAATTCTCTTGAAGGGAAAAAGTAATTAAAAATGTTTTTCGAAATTGGCGATCTTTCATATGCAGTAATGCAGCCGAATTCAAGAGTTTCTCTACTTATACTCTCACAGTTACCAAAAAATTAGTTGTTGTGCAAAACATTCCTTCTGTAAAACCCTGTGAAGACTTTTGCCTATTGAAAATCAAAGCATGGCTTAGCAGGCCGTATTACCGTATTCCATACATGAGTGGAACACACAACAACTGTACACCCTATTGGTCCAATCCATGCTGCTGGAGTAGTTCGAAGGTGGTAGGGACCATGGGACTATATGTCCTCAAACCTTAAGCTGTTAAGGCCTACATTTAAGGTCAACAGGCATTCCTACTTTTGAAAGCTGAATCCCACTACAGACCTTTGAGAAAGCGTGGCATGGTCTACAAATTGGGTTTACCGTGCGACCACTTTCCCTTCGATTGCACTTTTTTTGCGACATCCCATTTGAAATCAATGAAATGCAAATTGTTTCCGCGAAATCAGTGTAAAGTGTCTGTAGTGAAAGTAAGTTTACGAATAAATGTAACTTCTGGATGAAATCGAACACAGCTATAATTTTTCTTATTCTTTGTCTTGGTTTATAGCTTATTAATAGGGAAAAAGTGGGTCTGACCACTTTTCCTTTCTCAAACTGTGAAATGATTGATGATAATGGAAGGATGCTTCTATTCTCACAATCAGATATGCAAATAATTGTTATGTGTGGGAATTTTGCAAAACTGTGGAAATGGGAAATTTGTGGTAATCCGACCTTAACCTTGTTAATTTTAGGGAAGCTCGAACATATCTTGAATTCTATAATCTCACGGAATTCCCTCAACGAGCTTTTGTGATTCTTTCAGCGAGAGATGGTGGCAATATCCTCCGCGATGAGTATGTTGATGAGGTATGTTTTTTTGAAATCACTATGTTGCTGCTCCCATAATGCGTTTCATTATAACCTTCTCTTCTTTTTTTTATAAACCGTAATTTTTGCCATGCATTGATTGTTTTTCCTAAACTTATGAAGCAATTTTATGTACAATTTCATCCTTAGGTACTTCGGTTCGATCGGTTGATGACAAACTCATTATCGGATCGAGTTGAGATGCCAGAACGAAGTTGTTATCCACTTTGCCAATTGAACAGACCATTTCATATGGTTTTGGTAAGTTTAACTTAAGGTTATTCATAATTGCGTCGAAGGTATTGGCAGTATCAGCGATTTTTGCAACGTGCAATATCTGCTTTCGCAAGAAAATTAGAAATTAGTGATTTACTGAGGTGAAACACTGCAATAAAAGAATCTACAGTTAAGTGTAGATAAC